TTCTCAAAAGGTAAGAATTAATCAATATATCGTTAACGAACAATCGTTATCTCAATGAGTCGACCTAATTTTTTTTCTTTATTCTTTTTTTTTTGCTCTATCTTCTTTTACTTTTTCTTGTAATTAGACGTCATCGTTGCTTTTGAAAATGTTCGTTACAATCGAACCGATAAAGGTTCGAGTATATGTATGTATTTTTATCAGCTCGAATGAACAAAGAAGGGAAATAAAAAAAAAAAAAAAAAAAAAAAAAAAAAAGAAAATTTTAATGGTTGAGCTTCATTAAAAAAGTTCATTTCAAGGATCCTTCAATTATTTATTCGATATGCTTTATTTCCTAGCAATGTTTTTTTTTCTGTTTTCTTTTTTTTTTTTTTTTTTTTTTGGAATAAATACTTCCATTGCAACGAGATAATTTTATGGTCATATTACTTGCCGGACTTCAATGAAACTTCGTTATTTATAAAAAAGAAAAAAGAAAAAAGAAATGAAAAAGAGAAAAAGAAAAAAAGAAAAGAAATGAAAGAGAAGAGGAGAGAAAAAACAAAAAACAAAAAAACAAACAAACAAACAAAAAGAGTACTGCAATAAGTAATTAAAATCTTAAAACAGGATAAATAGAAACTGGTTACTTAGGTATGAATCATTCAACGAACATAAGTACACAGTATGTATATACATAAATAGAAACTTGCTCGAGTTACTCTAATTATATATATATATATATATATATATATATATTGCTGATTAGATATAGACAAACAAACATCCCCTAAATTTAGCATACGGATCCAGCCTGCTTTAACACTATCTTCCTCTCTCTCTTTCTCTTTCTCTCTCTCTCTCTCTCTCTCTCCTTCTTTCTCTCTGTATCTCTCTCACTATCTTTCAAATGTGAATAAGCACACACATACACATTCTCATTCTCTCTCTCTTTCTCTCTCTTTCTCTCTATCTCCAAATTTTACACTTGAGCAAGCACGCTTTCTCTCTCTCTCTCTCTTTCTCTCTCTCTCTCTCTCTCTCTCTCTCTCTCTCTCTCTCGAAATCTATCCGAGAATTTAGCAGCGATGCATTTACGTTATCAGCATACAGCCGAACACATAGCGTCTCCCTTCGTTAAAGTGGATCAACGATGCAACACTTCACGGCTAATTGCAAAGCTACGCGGTACTTGTATGTTAACAGTTCGCTTCGTTGTTCTTACTACTACTATTACTACTACTACCACCATCATTACAACTATTACTACTACTATGTAAGTTACATTGAAGCGAACTCGTCTTGTCACTGTTTTAACGACCCACTTATTCTATCTTACGCGATTCCACGATCTCTTAAATTTTGCCCTGAATATTCGAAATATCATTGACTTTTGTATTTTCTCTTACGTATTTTTATACGTATGTATCTATGTATGTATGTATGTATGTACATATGTGTTTGTGTGTGTATTTTTTCTTTTTTTCTCCTTTTTCTCTTTCCTCTCTTTATTTATAACACTTTTCTGTTTTTTAATCGACAAAGGATCTACTGATCGATCGAACTCGATCGATCTACGTCTATCCTCGGTAATTTCATTTCGAGGTTGCGATATCACTGGCCTTGAAACTTTGAGAACCTGAGGATGTTGGCCGGAAATAGAGTTTCTTGGCAGGAACGTGCCTTCGAGAAGCCGGTAAAAAGGCCGTTCGTCTTAGAGACGAAGAAAAGCTAGCTGGCGTTTGAAGCACATCTCTCTCTCTCTCTCTCTCTCTCTCTCTCTCCTTCCTTTTTACTCGACGAAGACGTCAACGACTATTTGGCTGTCTCGGTGCTCACCTTTGGCCAAAGATTCTCTCGTAGTCATGGCATTCGCTCTCGACGGGGACATCGATCGTATTTTCTTGGCGTTGGAAATTATCCGACGAATTTGTCTTTTCGAGAACGATCAGCCACGGCCATTATTGAAATAAGAGAGAAAAAAGGAAAAAAAAAAAAAGAAAAATGAAAAAGGAAAAAGAACGATTCACATCGTTTTCTAACGTACCTAACAAATATTGTCTTGCTTGATAAAAAGATCTATGGAGAACGAAAAAAAAAAAAAAAAAAAAAAAGGAATGTGGAAAAAAATCGTTTTATAGTCATGGATATTGCCATGGACCGATCATTTATCGCGACTTCACGCGTGATTTACGATTTACGCGCGATAAAAAGAAAAAGAAAAGAAATAGCTATCCGCATAAACTCGCTTCATTGGTTAAGGCGACAACGTGGAAGGATTAGAAAAAGAAAATAGATTTTCAACGGGTCAACCGGTACGGTCCGTTTAAACGCGCGAATTTACATTTACGATTTACGCGTTTGCACGCGTTATTCCTCGAATCGATTGCTTACGTTACGTTATCGAGATCGATCGACATTGAAATCGATTAATGTCAAAATTTTCACCAAAGCTCCGATACATTTATCTCCTATTATTATTCCGTTTACGTGTACATACGTGCATGTAACTGCACGT